CAGTTGTAAATATGATTAATAAATGAAAAAAATACTATATATAAAATCGAATCAGGAACCGTTAATTACAATAGCATTTTTCAAGTGTTTTCCATAGTCTGTGAAATATCTATATTTACCTTTTAATTAAAAAATAACCAAAGAAATTGTTTCGAGAATGCAGAAGTTTTTAGTGAACATACCTAAAACTAATTCGAATTGAGAATCCCATTTATAAAGTCGCTTAAAAATAACTAGGTAATGTTAAAATAATCATTGGTTTAAATTATTTAAATAACATTATTGATCTCTAAATTTAATTTCCGTACTTTCCCATTCATGACCAATGCTTCCTCTATCACAGATGACATTTAATCACTATTTCCGACATGGGATTTCCAAACGCCATGTAAATAACAGTATATTCGTCCCAAACATCGCTTCCAGAGTTTTGTTTTTGGAAGCCTATATTTTACACGCTAAATTGGAAAAACCCAGGCCATGTTCAAAATTACCTCTACTGATGACGTTGATGACTCAGTGGTATTACGCCTTTAATACCATTAGGGTAAACCCATCCTAACGTACTTAAAAAATAATTAGGAGGGGGGCGATAGGCGGTAGTTTTCACTATCGATAGTTTTTCATCGACGATATCGAACTATCGATAGTGAAAACTATCGATAGATATCACTGTCGATAGTTCTACATTGTCGATGAAAAACTATCGATAGTATAGAACTTACCACGACATTCTTAAAGAACGGTTTATTTTCGCTGTTATTGACGCAGAGAGAGAGAAATGCTATATGTTCATATAAAATATAAAAACTTGCTGCCCAATTATATTGGGAGTATAATTGCCGTATATACTTCATAACAATAACTGACGTTTATGTTGGATAGATTCAGAAAGATTTATATATATTTAGAATATAATAAAAATCCCCACATATATTATTACAGTAAGACTCGAAATCGGGTTTGTACCAAATATAAGCTCCTGCATGCTCAAATACCACGAATGGGGTACCGTTGGATTCAGAATTTCACGGCGGGTTAGCGAATCGTATTCTCCACTTGTTTTTCTTTCTAAAATAAATAAAGTCGATACAAACATTTTGCTAGACAAACATTTCAATACCTGAACGGTGGTAGGTCTGTAGATCGATACGGGACAAATTGGATCTTGAAGATTTTGATGCGTACAGGAACTACCGGATCCTGCGTTTTTAAGCTCCAAAACGTACTATTTTCGAGATAACGCAAGGCATAGGGTTCGCTTCCACTCAGCCTTACGTTAATTGTAGTACTGGCATTAGATACATGTCTCATTTCGTCGACTTGAGGCTTCTATGATCGACAGAGGAGGAGTTTATATTATTTATCGATGGTGATTTTAATCGGCAAGCAATATCATCGTTAATTCTTCACCAAATCTCAATATTGAGCCACCACTTCCTTCTCCTTCAGGGGGCAAAATAGTCCAATCACCCCGAAAATTCAGGCAAACAAGTTATGAAAGGAAACAAACTTTATTTGCGAATAACTAAAAAAATTATACTTTTTTCCTGACGGTTATGTCTACTATTATATAAAATATTACTGAATTCCCAACAAAAGTGAAAAAAAAATCATCGAAATCGGACAATGTTTAGCAAAGATACAGTTGAAATTTGTAAACATGTTGGTTCCAAACATTAATGAAGATTTAAATTAATTTATGTTTCCTTTGTTGATTATATTTATCGATAAAGTAACAATTAATTTCTTTATCTTTTGATACGTTGCATTATTTCATTTTTTTATTAATTTGGCATTTGATCACTTAACAATATGCAGCGCGAATTTTTCACACGGGCCTACTAGTTATTAATCAATAACTTAAAAAAATTATTGACGGAAAAATACATTTATATAAAAAAAAGAAATGGTCTTTCATTTCCATGAAAGTCAAAATCAAACAAGAAACGACTATGACGATATATAGATGATACCACGGGCGGATCTACGGGGGGGAGGGGCTTTCGGGCTGAGGCCCCCCCCCAAAATGGAAAAATATAACCATGTTTTATGGGAAAAAAAATTAGAAAATACCTCTTAAAGTATTATTGTTCGTGTAATTACATTTAAAAGTACTTAAGGAATAACTTAAACATTATTTCATATAGGTAGTTAGTTTCTTTCTGTTTTTCCAAAGTAATTATCGTTATTTTTATGAAAAAAAAAGGTTTCGGGCTGAAGCCCCCTCCAAAATTATTTCCTGGATCCGCTACTGGATGATACTGTTTAAACTATTTTACTAAAAAAAAGGGAGAAGTGCGTATGTCTCTCAATTTCCAGGATTGTAAATTTAACATTAGTTAAAAAATATCACAAAATTTTGCTGGCGTCATTGTATGTTTTATATTTTTTTCTATGAAAAATAAAGGTAACTTTTTTTTCCATCGGCATAACTGCAGATGTAAACATAATTTTAAGAAAATCATTTGAAGTATATTCTTCATTAGCTTGAAGGCTTCTTCTTGTCAAATTTCAGTTTCAATTTTATAAATTGATAGGAATAGTTTTAATATCACGCCTTCATATTTCTATCCATTTATTTCCCTTATGTGAAATTTCAACAGTTTTCCATCACCAAAGATTTCACTTTTATGTTATCGTTATATTTCGTGCAGTGAGTGTAATATTTACAGAAGCATAGCACTCCTTCCGGTTGCCTATCAATATCCTACTAAACCGGATATATAATAGGCGACCACCAAGCTGGATTCAAAAAAAGGGAGGAGCACGCTAGACCAGATCTTCATCCTAAAACAAGTACTCGAAAAACGATGGGAAGTAGCTCAGGACGTCCACGCCATATTTTTCGATTTCAAAGAAGCCTATGATTCTGTGGACAGGAACTGTCTTTGGAAAATCATGACTGAAGTGGGAATTACCAGTAAGTTGGTGAGATTGACAAAGTCCTGTACGAATGATCCCAAATGTAGAGTCCTAATACATGGAAAATTAACTTAATCCTTCAAAGTTCGAACGAGCTTATGGTAGGTAGATAGACTAATACCGATGTTGTTCAGCCTAGCCCTGGGGAAGGTGATAAGAGCAACATCATAGGAAAATGGAGGGGTCCACGTCGGAATGAATCATAACATCCTTGGATACGCATAGCATCCTTAGATATAGCTGTCCTTGGAAGTAATCAAGAAGAAATCGAAAAACTCGCCATAACAATGATAGGAGAGGAACAGCAGATTATCCTACAAGTAAATGAAGACAAAACAAAATATATGATAATGATAAAATTCCACCGCAATAACAGGATCTGCGTAGAAGAAAAATCATTCACGAATGTTGAAAAATTCAAATACCTCGGCTCCACAATAACCTCACTAAATGACCAACTGTCAGAAATAGACCAGCGTATAACTAGCGCAAACAGAGCTTTCTTCTCCCTCTCAAAGGTAGTGAAATCCCGAAAAATTTCAAGAAATCTCAAACTAAGGGTCCACAATGCCATGATAAAGCCAGTTCTAATATATGGCTGTGAGACCTGAACACTAACCAGCACCCTAGAAAAAAGTGTAGAAAGACTTGAGAGGAAAATCCTCCCCACGATAACCAGAGTGATCTGGGATTAGAATACTAATACATGGAGAAGATCAAGAACGAACTACTTACAGAAACTGGTCGATCAATATCCTATGATATGAAGGCACGGAGGTTAAGATGGGCGAGGCATGTTGCTTGTAGTATATGAAAGCCTCTACGTAACAATGAATGCCTCAATAGAAGGCAAAAGACCACATGGAAGTACTAAAAGCAGATGGATAGATAGAATCAACAAAGATGTAATAGAGCTGTGTACAGATAAATGTAAAGAAATAGCCCAAGTCAGACAGAGATGGACAAAGTCCTGCAATGGACAAAGGTTTGTCAAGGCAGCAAAAGATCTACATAATCTGTAATGCCAAAAGAAAAAAATCTTACATCAATAAATGGATAGAAGCATGAAGACGTGTTCTTAAAATTATTTATTTAAGTATATAAAATTTGAAATTATATCTTTGTCATCGATGAGAAAACAAACTATCGATAGTCACTAGAACTATTAATAATACTATCGACTATTGCCCATCTCTGATATTATTTCTACAGTATAAAAAACTAATTCAATTCATATTTTACTTATGAAAAATAATAAATTATCCAGAAGGGAGCCCTAATTTACAAAGAGGCCAAATTTCAAAGTGCAAGTGGTTGAGGGCAAAGAGAATTTGAGTTGAAAAAGAAAATTAGCTTGAAATTTATTTTAGTATTATATCAGTATTCTGTTGCAATATCTAATACCTTTAGGTTGTACAAGTCCTTATATAGCAAATAACTTTTCAAATAAAATGGTGCATCTCTAACATAATATACAATAATCATAACAACTATTAACCAGCTTCAATGATTTTAAATAGTAACTACCACATAAATATTCAGATTATTTAATATTTAAAAATGAGATAACACTATCATTGTAATAAAAACAAATCTCTCACAGATGAAATTTTTTATAAAGAATATTCTTTTAAAGATAAAAGACAAAAATAGTGCATTTTTCATATAATATATTAGCCTATAATATATTAAAGGATTGATAACTGGTATCAATAATATTTCCCATTATTTTTAGAAGCAAGATAATACTGTAATCTATGAGTGTTTCATGGGGTTATCTTTTTACCTTATTAATAATAACTGGATAATCCAAGGAAAATGAAGTAGAGAGAATGTATTCTACTCAGTAAATTTCCAAAAACTATAAGATCATAAATTCCAACAACTATGAACATTTATTTACAAGAACATTTAGAAAAAGACATGAAACCACACACTGCTATGTTAAATAATTCTATAAAATCTATATCTAACTATGAAATTAATTTAACAACATATACAAAAAGATTATGTATTTATATAGTAATAAAAACAAAAATATTTCATTCACTAAACTTTAATTTTTTTTTTTTTAGATTCTGCAAATTCGATACCAAAGGTAGGTACTCATTTCTGCATCCGTTATACTAATACAGGTATTTTTTTTTAATTACTACTTTATTTTAAATATTTACCAGCCCAAATGAAGAAGATGTCTAGTTTAACAATCGTGGTCTAGCAATTTATTTTATTTTATTTCCATGTTATAACATTTGAAAGACAATTTAAAGATGTCATATATTTAAAATGAAGTAATCACGTAAATCAGACAGAAGTCGAGTCTGAAATTGTTGTTCCTACATTGAAAAATTCTATGAAAATGAAATATGTATCTTACATTGCTTTCAAAGTATGTTAATTGACAAACTATACTGAACAATTTTGACTATAAATACTTTAAGAGTTTACAAAACAATATTAATATTAACGAAAACAAATTGTTTACACCTTTAAACAACAACAAACAAACAAAATCATGTTAATTTAGTACATTAAAAAATATTTAAACATTAGAAATACAAATGTATTGTGTAGAAGATACTAATGCAATATGCAAAGAAATATTTAATAAATTTCACAGTATTGAATTACTGTAATTATTATTTTATTGATTATTATTATTTATTACTTACTATAATTATTTAACTATATTAAGTAATAAATTGTATATCTATGAATCAGATAATTTATAATTGTATATCAAAGTATTATGGACATTTAAGCTGCTAATGATCAATTTCTTATTATTTGAATAGAAAGAATAATGTAAAAAATTTGATAGAAATATTTTCATAGTTAGTTTTTATTTTATTCAAAATTTTATCTATTCTTATGAAGAGTTTTAAAATGTTTCAAAAACTAAAAAACTATTTTCAAAATATATAGGTCAGGAAACTAAATAAAATGATTATTTATACAAATATATTTTTCATTTTGGTCATTTCAACATGTATTTAATATTATTTATGAAACAAATAAAGTAATTTATCTGTTGAGGAACTTCATTATTTTTTTTCTCGTAATCAATGCTATCATTGCATATCTCAATAATCAATGCGTAACTCAATGCTATAATGATAAAACAATTTTAACATAATATTGATCCAACCATTACCATAAAAAAATGTATTGATTTTTTTATGCTACACATTTGAAAAGGAATTTCGTTTCTATCTATTACATCAAAATTAACATGTTTAATACCTTGAAGAAAGGATTTATAAAATTGAAGAATCAAATTAGTAATTCATCAATCCCAAAAATATTTTTGTAATTTAATGTTGACTTTATAAATTTTAGTTTTGATTCACGATACCGCAAAGATGGTTGATTGTAATAAATAATTGAAGAGAAATTGGTTTGGGTGTTCAGTCAAAATACAAAATAAAAGTAAATAAATTGAATACTTAATAGTTGACCATTGTATTATAGAGGAAGGAGATGGTCCGGGGTAGCGGTCATAAATAGTGGTGTTCTTCAGGGAGGTATAAGGAGTTTCACTTAAAACTTGGTTTTAATTGAGTTTCAAGTGAAACTCCTAGCTGAACACACCTCGTTGAAGAAGACCTGAAAAGTCGGGTCGAAACGTTGGCTTTTAATAAAATAGTTTTGCCACTATTTTAGTCTATTTATAACCACCTCCTTCCTCTAAAATAAATCAATATATTTATTAATAAAAATATGTAGGTACATTATTTATTTTTAGTTTGTATTTTGACTGAACACCCCAACCAATTTCTCCTCAAATAGTATTGATTTGTTAGATAATGACCAAATGAATATTGGATGAAATCTGTTCAGCCAAAACCTCATTTATTTAACCAATAACTTTGAAACAGGTTTGGTACTAAAAAAATTGTAAGGTTTTAAAATATAAATATAAATTAAAATATTATTAATGATATAAAATATATTAATGATTTTATCGTTACATGTTATAGGAAAGCCCAAGAGTGGCTATAGTTGACCGCAACAGATTCATAATCGAGAAGAAAATAGATTACAAACTCCTAGGACAACCTAAACGTAAGAGATTGAACAAAATCAAAATCAATAATTTGAAAATATGGTTTATCATCAAAATACTCTAAAATTTTAAGTTTTAAAAGGTAATTACATAAATATATTCAATGATTATGATACAAGGGTTTTGACCAGTTACCCCTCAATGTGGAATTAAACAGTGGTGGTTACTCCATTTGTGCAAATGAGCATGTGATCATCCTAGCTTTATGAAATAAAAAATAATGATTACTTTATAGAAGAAAAAAGAAATAGAAAATATATATTTGAGATGAATAAAAAATAATCCAGAAATAGAATGATCCAGAAATCCCTGGAATTGAAGTGTCATATAAATAGGCAAAGACAAAACAGTTCAGTGCCTTTTCATCCTGTTTCTCCACCAATTTTCAATTTTTTAGTTTAGTAGCTATTGAAGAGCTTTACTGCTATCAATAAAAAAATATTGGAAACAGTGTGTATTAATAAAAATGTAAGTGTTAGTTTGTTCAAATCTGCTAATCTCCGATTAGCTTTCAAAATTGCTTTGAAATTTTACAGTCAAATTCAGAATTGTTTTTATTTACAATTACATAATGACAACCAAAAAATTTGGGTCACTATAGAATTTAGTGCCAAAACAGCTGTAATGATTTTAATGAGACTTGGCTAAAGCCTTTTAAATCAATGTATGTAATATACTTCCCAGAAAAGATGCTGATAAAAATAACAATGGATTCAAAATTTTATACTTATATTTTAAACTCCAAAAGTAAATATTTGAGAGCTTCCTGAAATCCTTACAAAATGAAAAATAAAAAAATCATTTACCATAAGATATTTTTATTACATTTTTTATTATGCTTTATATTTTTTCAGAAGAGCTCAATTATGAAAAATTTATATTTGAGCTATAGTATCGGTACAATGTTCATTTTTTAACTCTATTTAAATTAGAGTTAATTTTTGTTTGTAAATTGTAGTTAATTTTTATTTATTGTTTATTTTTATCATGGTTTTAAAAAGTGACAATTGTCTTTAAAAATATAAAAATGACAAAACCAAGAACCTTTTAGTGAATTATGAATATGATTTAAATTAAATAATATATAAGTAGAGCATAAGATGGCTAATTGCCACAATTTTTAAATATTTGATATTTAAAATAAAGTTTACAAAAATTTTGGGTGAGAAGGTCAAAATTTGTCTGTTATTCATTATCAATAATTAGAGAATGAATGAATAACATTTATTAGTTGTTTCTTTTAACTTAGTATTGTGAATTTGAACAAATCATTGTCATATATAAATCAGTAAAAGAATTTTCCATGTAACTTATAGCTTAAATATCTGCTTGTAGTATGTGGTTTTTCAACCAAGAACATATCCAGCATAGCCCGTACGGGAGGTGGCATGGCGAGATTTCGAGACTGGCCATGGATGGCGGTTTTCGTCGATAAGGATTTGGAAATACAATTTTGTGGCGGGGCCCTGATAACTCCGAGGCACGTCCTGACAGCAGCACATTGTTTTACTCAGTAAGTTGTAATTATTTTTCTTTTATTTCAAATGGAATTTGAATTATACTTTGCTTACTTTTAAACATCATATCAAATATTCATGTATCTCGTTTATCGCAATGTATATCATTAAGTACATTTTTCATTAAAGTACACTAAAACAAGCTTTTGGGTGAGTTTTTGTTAATTTTGACATTATTTATCAATACAAAAACATAAAAAGTGCACCATTAGTTTTACTACATGCATAAGGTTCTGATGCTACAGACAGAAAATTTAACAAAGTAGTTAGTAATTTAATTTTTTGAAATGTTACTTAATGAATATTTCAATATACCCATGAAATATGAAACAATTTTAATTAAAATGGTTAAAGGTACAAAAAGACTAAATTAGTAAAAAATTATTGAATATGTTATAGATGCCATGTATTTTATCAGCTAAGCTAATCGTAAAATCTAGAGATTGATTTATATTGTACATACTAGGCAAAATCATGGGGTCCTCAAGAATTTGTTCTTTAAGTATTTATTTCTATAGATCGTTTAACGCTTGTTCATATATTACTGTTATTTATAGTCTATAAATGGGAGAGAGTATAAAAAGTATTGATTAAAGAGAATAAATTGTTGGTTTATTGCAAAAAGTCACTAACTACATTTTTTATAGAGCCGAGCAGGATTATTTAGTTTGAACAATTACACGGATAACGCTGCAAAAGTGTCTCTTCAAAATGGTGGATGGGTCAAGATCACATCGATCATACTGTATTATGGAATTCTGAAAATGGCTGCGAATTGACAACCACAATCGTGGATTTAATCTCGCTTTAATTAGATTGGAACTTTCAACTTCTGCTTACTATACTCACTTAAAACATAAAACAACCCAAAAGGATGTTTTCAGTTGCAATAGAGCACTTACAGATGTATTAGGTCACTTCCATCTACTTTCGGACACCGAGCCACCTTCAGAATTCCATTTGAAGTTTAATCAATTTGATCTTGTGCCAATAATAATTTTATAATTAAATCAACTATTTTTAATCAAATTGAAGTTCTCATAAACATTTTAATATTGCAAGGTTTCTTAAATTTAAAGCTTTTAAATTGGTTTTGATTGTTTGGGCACTGATATGAAATAAATTATTTGTTTTATTTCAGTAAAGAAGCAAAAGATATGTTCGTAAGAGTTGGCGAATATGACTTAGCAAGAAAAAATGAGACCCTGACGAATGATATCGAAGTAGAGGAATTGCGATCGCATGAAGACTTTGAGCCAAGTACTTTTGAACACGATATAGCAATTCTTAAACTCGCAGAACCTGTAAGGTACTCCATCTATACTCAACCCATCTGCCTGCCTTTGCCTGAACAAGATTTCACCAACACAATGGCTATTGTATCAGGTAAAACTATAGAAAAAATTATTGCTTTCTAAGAGAAGCAACTCGTGCAATAAATGTTGGATAATAAAATGCAATACAAGTTTGGAGACTCCTGATCCAAAAAGATGAAACATAAATACATTTTCCAATTTCATAATTCAGCCATTTACAATTACTTTTCTTTAATGGCACACAACCCATTCTTAGTTCTTGGCTTCCTTGATCAGCCTTCACCAGTTGCCTCAATCCTATGCAGCAACCAATAGTTTTGAACCAAGTAATCAAGCTTCTTTTTTATGGACAGTGGCTCTTTCACACTATCATTGAAGCAGAAAATATTTTGTTCTTTTTGATGAGGTCTTAACGCTTCCTCTACGCTATATGTCATTGCATTCAAAAGTTCTGAAGTACGAATTAGTGAGAATACAATATTGAATTTCAAAACACTTTTACTTGTTTCTTCACCAAGAAGTTACGATCCCGCAGATATGTCACTTTAAGGTGGTGGATAGAGTCCATATTTGGGATCCTATATGTACAGATTATATTTATTTACATTAATAGTTCCTATAATTCTGGAATGATATCTATATTCTGTAATTCAATTAATGAGAATGTGTACAAAATGTATTTAAAAGTTTTCTCACTATCCAAGCAGATATCAAACTATCAACCAACCTAATATAAAGCAGATTTTGAGAGACTTTCAAGATCTTTAGGTCGAAGTCAAGATCTATTGTACTTTTTTCTTGTCCTTTACAATGTGAGACTCAAAAAATAATTACAGAGGGTCACTATTATTTTATCTAGATGATAAAATGTTTTTAGTTTAAAGGCGAACTCCTGGTACTTAATTTGCTGGCCCTTATCATTATTTAGTAATGAAACAAAGAATGATTTGGGACAGCTATGTTTATGTTTTTGTTTTTTTGTTGTATAAGTTAAATATCAGGCCCTATGGTTGGTAATAATTTTATCACCCCAGTAAAATTTTATAATTTCATTGTCAATTATTTTTTCTGGGGTCTAAAGATGATATAAAACCACATCATTATTCAATAATCCATTTTTCTGCAGATATTTTGGTGATATATTTTGCCACAATGTTATCACTCTTAATATAATCTGTCTGAGCCAATGATTCTCGTCCATTTATCACATTCTGAATGAAGTGCTACTTGAAGCAGTGAAAATATTTATCTGAGAGGACGTTAATAATTTAAAACACATACAAATGAAATATAGAATATTATTAGGAGAAGTTAGTCGGGTGCTGCAGACAAAAGTTACAAACATGATATTAGGGAATTATATTGACTAGTAGCGTATTTTATGATCTAAGTTGGAGATCTTCATCGAGATTAAAAGAACAAGATAAAAAAAAATTAATGTTAAATTGATAGGTCAAAATTATATAAGTATAAAATAAATTACCAATTTAACATTAGTTGTTTGTATCTTGTTCTTTTAGCCCTGAAAAGACCTAAACCGGAATGAATATATATATAATTCTTAAATATCATGGATGCGACTTTTGACCGCATCCTCCGACTTGTACTTAAATCGATCAATAATTTTCATATGGACTGATAATGTTTTAAATAAATTTACTTAAATAAGTTTTAAATACAAGTGAAAATATACTTATAAAGCTAAGTATTTTTATAAAATTACTTTAAAAATCTACCAATTAATAGACAATTTATTATTAATCTGTTTTAGGATGGGGCAGCGTATCGTTTGGAGGTCCAATGTCCGACGTTCTCTTAGAAGTGCCAGTTCCTGTCTGGGAACAGGCTGAATGCGAAGATCATTTCCAACAGACTATATTCGATACAGTGCAGTGTGCGGCAAGTCCAGAAGGTGGCAAGGATGCTTGCCAGGTAATGTATTAATTAAAACTTAGCTGTTGAGAGCTTTATAAAAGCATTATTAATATTTATTTATTTATGCCTCCTTTCCTTGCCTTTCAGCTACACTGGATTTTGCAGGGATGGCATATCACACACATGCATGCCATTCCTGCTATTAAACCACAAATGAATTGTCAATTTTTATTTTTTTTCAAATCTCTTCTTTTTTCATTATTTTATTTTCACCATATTAGTCTGGCGGCCTTCTATTAGCAGGTTCTCTTCTTCCCAGATTAAGATGGGAGGGCCTCAGACCAGCTTTCCACCTGTACACAAAATCTTTGTAATATGGGTAGTTCTGCTTTGTCACTAACTGGGGAAATTCACCCTCCGTGAGGCCATAGACTCCAATGTTTCTCATCATTTCGGCCCTTAGTCCACCAAAGGCGGTGCAGTTGATGATGATGTGCTCAGCCGTCTCCTGTGCTCCGCAAGTGGGGCATAGGGGATCTATGTCTTTTCCAAAGCATTATTAATAGTAATTCTTGGCTTACATAGTTCTTAATAAATTATTGCATTACTTTCAAACCAGTTAGTGCAGGAGTGCACATCTCCTCCTCCCTCCCCCTCCCTCACCAAGGCCGATGGTTAAATAAACCTTTCCTCACCCCTCCCGAGATGTTTTATTCTTCTCTTCTTAAAAACAGTGCAAACGAAAGTAGAATTTAAATATTCGTAGATTATAAACAATTACAAATCCTGCAGTCTATTCCATGCTTCCACTTGTCTTTTAATTTAAAACTTTTCATTTTGAAAATTCTCAACCCTGTCGGAATGTGCCCCTCTCAAAAATTGAAAACCCCATCAAAAAGTGCCCCTTTCCCCTCATAAACTTTGATGGCGCAACTTGCGCTATAAAATCCCCTTCTGAGCACCCCTGATTTAGTGATCCTAAAAGTACCTTTAGACATTTCACAAACTATGGAAAACAGAAATATCTAAATCAGTTGTTTATCGAGGCTAATGTTTTTGTTTCTAGTTTTTCCTATTCTATCTGCCGTTTTTCAAGAGGAATAGAAGGGAGTTTGGGAAGGGGCTTGTATCACTTTTAGACATTCCTTTACTGTTTGTGTTACTTGAAAGATGTTGAATTTCATGGTCTTTGGTATGATTTACATGAATTTTCTTTAAACACCATCTCCTATAAGAATTTTACATCTTCTTTCACATTCTTTTTATTCCTTTCATTTCTTTTTAAAATTATAAGTTAGGACAAATATGATTCTCCACATTCATTACCTTTGATCCTCAGAAAAGAAACAGAAATAACACCTTGTTTTTTATGTTTTGGTCTGCTTCTGTTTTTGAAATGTGTAAACCCAGCTTAAGATGTCCTTTCCCTGTCTTCTTTCCGATAGAATAAAAAATAAAACCAAGCAACTTCTGGTGGCAGACCATTTTACCATCCTGTTTTATTTAATCAAATATAGGATTATAATATACAATTTCAACATTTTTTCAATTGGTTTATTTATTTACACACATTCTTCTTTCTTTCACTACAGCTCGATGTTGACCTTGGCCTCCTTAATGATCCTTTGCCAGGTGTCTCGATCTTGTGCGGCCCCTTTCTGATTTCGATCGCCTAAAAGGATCCGAGCATCCTTCATAACTGTGTCTTCCTCCCTCAGCCTTGGCCTTCCTCTTCCTCTCAAATGGTCCAGATTCCCAGAAAAATAATGTTTTTGGGAATTTCTTTCTCATTCATTCCTGTTACGTGGCCTGCCCATCCCAGTTGACTACATTTTATAAGACAAACGACATTTATTTCAGCAAATCGTTCAAATAATTCTCTGTTATAGCTTCTCCTCCTCTGGTTCCCTTCACTCTTAATATACCCAAAATCTTTCTTTCAAAGATAAGGAACTCTTTCTCTTCTGAATTATCTATCTTCACAACTTTCCATATACATTCGTTCCAAATCTTATTGGGGAGAGGGGGGGCTGTTATTAGACCACATTCATACTAAAAACTAAAATCTACACAAACCTTGCTAAGCTTTTCCTATTTAGGCAATAAACTTCAAGGGAGCAACTATACTTTTTCACCTCTAAAGGCTATTTAATGCTTTATATCATTGTGCTGGCAGATGACTAGGAGCATTTTATTTGGACATTTGCCAGATACATATGCTGAGGTTTAGCAGCTCATGTATAGACTAGTGAATTTGAACACTATATTTGTTTAACATTGACTTTGATAAAAATATAAAAAGATATAAAATAAAAAAATCTGTATTTAAACTGTTAATTTTTTTTTCAGGGTGATTCAGGCGGCCCTCTAATGAGCCAAAGAGAGGACGGCAGATGGATGACGATAGGGATAGTGTCTTGGGGAATAAGATGTGGAGAACCAGGCAAACCAGGCATTTATACCAGGGTTAATAAATACCTCGACTGGATAGCAGAGAACACGCAAGATGTCAAATAATAATGTTGTCACAATGAAATGTGAATTTTTAAATGACTTTAAAATGTTAATATACTGAAAGATAGAACCAAAATACAATCAGTTCTGTTTCCTCAAGTTATCAAGGAAATGTGTTGTCAATTTAATTTTATACATTTTAAAAGGCTGACTCAGTAAACTATATACTTGCTCAATAAGGCATTATTTTAATAAAATAAATCCATTGAGTATTAATATTATATTAAAAATTAAAGTTTGTTTACAAAATAAAGTTTTTTATTTTCCTAGCCACAATTTCTTATTAAAACCAGTCCTTTGTTGATTTAACTTCCTTATATACACTCCAACTAGAGCAAGAAATAAGGATTATGCTATAGGTAAACATTTTCTTGCCAGAATGAAATTTGAAGTGGTCAGAGTTTGTTATGCCATGGGTTTGTTAAGAAATATATTTTAACCAACCTGGGATAGATTGAAACCAGATGCACTTCTAATATGATAATGCTAAGTTAATGCCTGTAATAAGAATTCTAATCAACAAAAATAAGTGGAATATTGTTAAACTATTCTGTAGGACACAGGAGGGGGGTTTGGGGGCAGAAGCCCCCTCAAAATGGTAAAGTATAACTATGTTTTATGAAAAAATTATCTCAATAGGTATTATCGTCTGGTCTAATTACACTTAATAGGACTTAAAGAATTACTTAAACACCATTTCATATAGGTACTTAGTTACTTTCTTGCTTCTGAAGTAATTATCATAATATTTACCTACAAAAAAATCTTTCGGGCAGAAGCCTCTCCCTCTCCCACAAAAAAATTAAATCCTGGATCCATTAGTGCTGTAGGACAAGCTCCTACAAGCTTAAAAGAATGGATAAAATTATTTAGAAAAATCCAATTTAAACAGGTGAAATTCCTTTCGTTAATCATTCACACAGTGGACCACAGATATTAAGGATCTGGAGTAAGCTCATAGAATTTGGTATACTTCAGTCAATCAAGATCAATTTGCTGCATTAATTATTTTCCATGACATAGTGTTTAAAATTAATATTAAAATATGCAGAAGCAAACGAAACTACAGTTAAATTATTTGTTACAAATTGAAAGCAAATATACATAATCTATCTTCTACAACAGTTCTGAAGAAGCTGCTAGTCTTTCAATAATCTTTAAATATTTGGACATTGCCACAGAACCTCTGGCAAGCCTGAGCCTCTTCAAATCAGCTGCATCTTGTGCAACTGGAATCCTGTTTTTAATGGAGATAGTTTTTTTGACATAATTTAACACTCCATTAATATTTCATTCCTAGAGATCTAGAAAAAGCTCCATTTGGTTAGCTTTAGATAAGAATTTATTTTTCCTTCACTCTTGGCTTGTCCATTCCAGGCCTACTTGGAGGTTGTTCTAAAGGTACAGCCAAACCTATTTCAACAAGAGTGGGAAGGTCGAGATTCATTCTGTAGTTCATTTGTGAAAAACATTTCAACCCGTCCAGGCTGGATTCGAACAGGTGCTACTAGCCTCAAGAATGTTTTTTTTTTCTTATGCCATAGTCATTGGTCATTTGACCATCCGACATCTTGCTGCCCAGTATAAGTTTGATTTTTTTATATAATCATTCACATATGTTTTATTTCTTATGTCTGTCAGAGCAGGACATTTGTCTAGGTGGCCTGCATTCATTTTCGCTTGCTCACTTAATTTACAGCTAGGATCTTCAGCTACGCCTATCTTGTGGAGATGATAGTCGTGACCAGTGGCCAGGTGGAAGCAGGCTACTGCATCTCTTCTTGGTAGGTCTGCTGGGATCGGGTTTTCCACCAAACATCCATAATGTCTCCCTCCCTTCCACCTTGTCTTTGTGTATAACTGTTTGAGACAATTCTGCTCCTCTCCTGGCGAGACTATCCGCTTCGTCATTTCCTGGAATACGGCAATGGCTCGGAATCCACTGTAGGACCACATTGGTGCCTCGGAGTGTTAGATCGTAGAGGAGGGATTTGCACGCCAAGATAGCACTCGACAGACATTTATTCACGTCATTAATAGCTAGGATTGCTGCCTGAAAGTCGAGAACAGCGCTCTGAACTTGCCTTCCTGATAGTGTTCTTAAGGCTATGAGGATCGCTACTATCTCACCGTCAAAATTCGTGAATGTTTATCCTTTAGCACGCTAGGCCATCACAACCTGTACGTTCTAGTACTGGCAATAAGAAGAGAAAATTGGATAGGAAATGGACCTATATTAGTTGTTTTTGTCCAAGATAATTAATAGTAACATGTTGTTCATTCATATCAAAATTTCTAGTTATCCTAATGAAATCCAAAATACTTTGGGTAATAAAGGGGCAGCCAGTTAGTGCAGGCAATCTTACCTTCCTTCTATCCCAGCAGACTATATTTTGATAAGGCATATTATAATCTGCTGTATGAGACAAGGCAGTTTTCGGAGCCATGCATGTGGAAGGTTTCAGGTGCAACCATTCCACAGATCTTAAGGTATCCTTATTTCTTCTACGGTGACCAATAAGGATTCATTTCTTTTTGTTATCTATATTTATAATTGCTTGTTATATCTAAGGCAAACTCTATGCCTCCATGCCTTGGAAAACTCAAAAACTTTTCTTTCCAGCTAATTTGTAAATCAAGTGTCATGGCAACACTATTACTGTTATCTTTATAATCTTAGAAGTATACATCAGGATTTTATGAGAATAGTTTCTATGTAAATGACAACAAAATGAGATTTCGCCAAAGTTAATTCAGTACAAAAGACCGCCACCGGTACCACTTCACAAGTATTTCAGATAGATGACGTCCTCTGAGTTTCAGCCAAATTCGACCTTACTGTTTAGTTCTGATAAACCTAATGCTTGAAGGAAACTTACTATTAGTCATTCAGGAGCATGAGAGAGCTACGGTAGGTAAATCATGGGCACCATTGTTAAATGAACCGGTACCGAGTAATCTGTCCAGAAGAAGTTTTGACTATTTTTGAATACAGCGCGATTTCCTAGTAAAGCGTTTGTACAGAATAGGTGTCCTTGAGAATCCACGCTACCAACACGAAGACATGATTACGTCCCATTTGGATACTTGACCTTCATAAATCGCACAAGTGACCTGTTAGCATCACAGGTATTCAATTTATACATACATTATAAACAAAACGAGTTGGGTTCATTCAAATTTTGTAATACCCATTTTCTGATTGTCGATGCACTATGTTAGATAGAACTTTATGTATGCATTTTCGTTTATAGGATATGTTGAAATTATTATTCTTGGAACCTTGAAAACCAGCCAGTCGGTACGTTATCGTCATCCAAATTTTATTAAGAAATATCTGTTTTTAAACAAGTCAGAACAGCTGACCAGCTCACTTCTAAGTCTAGTTTAGAAGGCTAGAGCAAGAATAGCAAGAGACCGTAGGCGACATTTTGGATTTATATGCATCGTTCTTACTGATCTCTTCCGTCTGAACTAGTTCTAAACTAATCAACTACTAACTAAAAACTAAATCAACGATTGCAATGTTATATGCCTTATTTTTGGATAATGTTCATAACACTAATATTATAATTAAGTCTTAAAACTAAGATAGTTTACTTTAATCTGTACATCTGTAAAATAAACAGAGAAAGGTAAAATTAATAAACAAAATAGTATCTAGAGGTACTTTGAGAGTTTTAGTCTTAGGCTTTTAAGTGAATTTCCTGATCAATCGGATTGGGAATGGAATAGGTGCTTAAAGAGAAGATATTTAAAAGAAGATACTGAATTTGAGAGTCAAATATCACGAGGAATAGAATTCCAGAGGGAGACAGCTTGAGTTACAAATGATGTAAGACTGTGAGGAGGTCGGACGTACAGGATTTGGTGGGACGGAATCTTGACACAATAAACTCTTTGAGGACATGGTCTCAACAATGTACCTCCATCTTCAGAACATTTCTAGAAATAGCTGGATGAGACACCTATATTGTAGTCCATGAAAGAGACCCATTGTTATCAAATTATTAACATCCCTATAAATCTTCGTGAATGGCTTAATTTTATCGTAACCTACAACTTTTCTATTTAAGAAAATTCTCAGAAAAAGGATTTTTCTCATTAATTTAATGAAGTAATTATGTTCAGTCGTCTCACTCTCCTCGTCCCTAACATCTCTTCTGTGGCTACTTTCTTCGAAATCTCACCATTATCCATTCTCGCTATCTTGAAAGAGCCCGTACAATTCTAGGTTCTTTCGTCTTCTCCATGTCTCGCCTACTTCGATGTGTCTATATATCCTCCTCAATATCCACCTTTCGAACAACAAGAGCCGATTTTCACCAGCCTTCTTAATGGTCCATGCCTCCAATCCATAAATTAGTACTGGACGGACTATAGTTTTGAATAGGCTGATTTTTGTCTTCTTTGAAAGATACCGGTTCCTAAAGTTTTAGGCAAGCTGTAGCAGCACCAGTTAGCGGTTATTATCCTACGCTTAATTTCTTGGAAGATATCGTTTTTGGAGTTTATATTGCTTCCCAAGTAGACGACGTTATTGACCTCCTGGAATCTGTAGTTTCCTATCTCAAAGTACTCCTCGTGTTTCCCAGCCGTCCAACCTGCATATACTTAAGGGCCGAACGTATGGTTGATGGATGGTGTGACTGTAGATGCTAGGACTCTCCTAGGACTCTTCTAGACAGTGCGAGGCTGGAGGACTGCTGCACAGAATAGGACTAACTGGCGGAGGCTATTTGAGGCGGATTGCACTCGGTGACGAGTTATTGCGCCGTTTTGTATGTATATAATGATTTACTAAAAATTCATGTATATCCATTTGCTTTAAACTCGAATCATGAGATAATTTGGTTACAAAATCGAGAGAAAAGGTGGCCTGGCAAAATATTGGGTCATTTGGCCTTTAATTGTCTCGTTATTTTGACATATTGAGAGTGAAGATCATGGCAAACGGTCCAATATTTTTATAGGCTACATTTTTTATCGATTTTATGATCAAATTATCTTACGATTCAAGTGTAAAGCAAATAAGTATATCTTAGTTTTTAGTAATTTATTAAACTCACAAAGTTCACCGCTTTCCAGATTGAAAACGCCTCATTCCCGAGAATTTTCGTAAATATAAAAGTTGAAGGTTACGATAAAATGAAGTAATAAACGAAGTCTTAGACAGACTTTAATAATTACACATAAAAGAGTCTGTACCATGGGCTAAAAGTATTAAGAAACAATGGTAATAAGAACTAGGAAAGTTCTTATGA